CCCCCCGCCCTTTCTGTGTTTGCTGAGTGAGAATAATGACCCAGCCCGCCGCCGGGCTAACGTGATGAGGATAAATAGGGTCCAGGCTTTAATAAAATGCAGGCTTGGCGAAATAAATAAATAAAATAAAATAAATGAAGGCTGGGAGGCCATTACACATTCTCTCCCAGATCTATCAGGATTGATATCCGTTTCCTCAGGCCAAGTAGACGATTCGGATCAGAGGGGGGAGAAGGCGTAATAACAGTGTCCCCGAGTTGCCAGGACCTTTCAGTCCTACCTCCCCTCCCTTCATTGCTCGAACCTCTGTCAAAGAGTCCACCGGCTTTTTTTGGATGCGTCTAATGATGGGGTACTCACTACCTCTCTGACTCTTCAATATTCCTAGATGGAGGTAAACTCTGATTTCTTGTAGAGACCATCATTGGAACAGGTCCTGTTGGGCTCTGAGTGAAAGACAACCCCCCCTTTTTTTTTGGTCAATTGTGGGGCTTGAACTCAAAGCCTGGGTGCTGTCCCTGAGTTCTTTTGGTTTTTGAGTGGTTAATTGGAGATAAAAGTCTCATAGGGACTTTTCTGCCCCAGGGGGATTTGAACTGTGATCCTCAAATCTTATCCTTCTGAGTAGCCAGGATTACAGACCTGAGACACCAGCACCTGGCAAATAGACCTCTCTTACATATAAATCTCTTCCGCCACTTGAAGACAACACAGATGGCTCCATATATCTTGCTTTTTTTTTTTCTCACTCTCCCCTCCCCTCCCTCTCCTTCTCTCATGCCATGCCAGTACTAGGGCTTAAATTCTGGGCCTCCTTGCTCTTGCTTAGCTTTTTTGCACAAGGCTGGCACTCTACCACCACAATTCCACTTCAGCTGTGTGCATGTGTGTGTGTGTGTGTGTGTGTGTGTGTGTATTAATTGGAGATAAAGAGTCTCACAGATTTGTTTTCCCTGGGATGACTTTGATCTCAGCCTCCTCAGTAGCCAGGATTATAGATTTGAGCCACCTTTGCTCCGTTCCCAGCCTTTTCAAGGACTATATGAGTCCTGCAATATCTTTGGATACATCCTTCCTGAATCATCCAGAGTGGTTTGCTCTGGTTCTGAGCACACAGAGCATACCAGAGCACAGATCCCTCCACCACCTTCCTCTTCCTGGAAGTCATGCCTCTACCAATGTTGCCATCACCCATCTGTGATACACAAAGCCTACAGATCCACAGAAACCCTCACGTTTAGGAGCAGAGACCCATTGCCCTGTGCAA